CAGATTGGATTTCTTTCTGGTCTCTCTTGTACGCCACGGCAAGGCATTGTTTGCCCCATATAAATATACACAAGCGGCTCCCTCGAGGAGTAGGAACACTTGTACCAAATCTTACAACATAGACCAGGCATGTTGTTCAACCCCCCACGGGGAGATCTTTCTTGCCGAAAGCAAAAGGTAACATCACATTGCTACACAACTTGCATATACATACATAGATGTAGATTAATTACTTCATTCATTATTAATTATTTATCCTCCTGGCAGAACATTTGATTGCTTGATTCTTGGCTAAATTAGCGAGCACTCGCTTGCATCTTGTCAATGTCAATGTTTAGAGCTAGTAATTCATTGATTCTTTTCTTTTTCTTTTGCTAAGTACAAGTGCTGCTGACTGGCCGGGTTCCCTTTTCGCCAGATTCACAAAGCGCGTGTGGAAAGCTGCTTTGCTTTCTTGGCATCCAAGCTTCTTCCTTAGTCACTTGGCTTTTCGAGAGAAGAAGCAGCAGCAGAAGAAGAAAATATGCAGGTGCGTCCTCCTTGCGGCCTACTCTTTCTCTAGCTATTAGCTAACCGCCTCTACTGCCACTTGTGCTGGGGTGAGTTGGTGCGTGTGCTGTGGTGTATTATGTACATTATGCGCACCTTTAGTTTTGTCAAGCTTCATTCCACTGTCATTCAATTCCGCATGCATGCTGGAATTCCACGCACGGCCTGCTCTGACCAAAGACCGGTCGACGTACGACTCGTCTGTCAGGCGAGGCGAGGCAGTGACGGAGCTAGCAAATTGCCAAAGCCTGGGCACGGTCATAAGTTAAAATCCACTTTGGATTAACGTCATGTGTAACACACACACTTCTGTTTCATATATCATAGAAGTAAAAAAAAAATCAGATACAATACCAAATAATCCACTAAAAGTTTTTTTTGCAGGGTAATTCACTAAAAGTTTTCGACGTTCATACACGAGCAAGGTCCAATCTACGATGTTTATGTTTATGTTCAACCCTTTGTTGCAGGCTTTGCTGCAATCAACATAGAACTGCAAGACCTCAATCGATCGATTCTGAATCCTGGATCCTGGCTTCTCGTTGCTTGTTTTTTTTGAGGCAATGGCTTCTTGTTGCTGAAAGCATGGCCTGTAGCCCATGTTACGAAACAAATGAATGGGCCTATGGCCTCCTAGTTGTAGCGAGAAAAGCCCAATAAGCAAGGAGATGGTCAAAGTGGCCCAGACAGTGCAGTTCGTTCGTTTCCAGCGTTAATTTCGCGATTTTCCAGCATATTTCAACAAGTTTAACGATTCTGATGGCTTGGCTAGCTCGTTGGAGTTCATCTAAACGGTACCGTCGAGCCCGGGCACGTGCCGAGGGTGCCCGTAAGGTACAATCGCCCCTGAGGCGAGGTGATGTCGTCACAGCTACTACCTCCATCCTGGTTTATTAGCCCCCCTCATATTTAGGGTCATATTTTGACCATATTTTAACAAATAATATATGATATATACGTAGCAAAAATAATATAATTGGAAATAATGTTCAACTATGAATCCAACGATATAATTTTTCATGCCATGCATTAACATTTTGATAAATCTATTGTCAAACTTTGACACAAAATATGAAGCGGACCATACACCAGGACGGAGGTACGTAGTATATGCTTCCTGACTTCAGTGGCTGCCTACTCAATCGTATCCTCTTGGGGCAAGTGATGAGATTACTATGACTCATACTACTTTTTCTATCTAGCTAATTAAGTAGAGTGTCAATCATTCCTTATCAGTAGCATCATCTTGTTCTGTGAAGATGAAGATCGTTCTGTTCTGGTGGACAAGTATGGGCCACAACCCACATGCCTCGTTTGTTCATCCTCCATAGCTAGGAGGGATGGCTCTGTGTAGTGTCACATGGCTCTGTAGGCCAATATCTGATGCAAGATGTCAAATTTCCATATAGAGTATGTAACAACACTTACGTAATTATTTAGAAGCACGCTGTGTTTAAGTTAAATACAAGTGCGCCGGACAAGTCCAAAAAATGCAATGTTATTAGTTGTCAAAATGATCACAACATATGTATGTTCCAGTGGATCTCCTGTAGGACCTATCTAACATGGTGCTACGCTCAGTCTCTTCTCTCTTGTCAAAATCAGTATCGGCAGTCCTCGCCGCTCCCGTTATTTTCTGTGAACTCATTCTTCAGCACCACCTCTTTGCCATCTTTTTTCTCCTCCACCTGCACACTTTCAGTCTTGATCACATCATCATCTTTCTTCTCCCCCGCCCGTACACTTTCAGACTTGATCTCAGTGGCCTCTTTCTTCTTTAACTTCAGAAGATCGACAAGATCATGGAGGGCAACATCAGTGTCGTCGTTCCTCATCAGAACCTCGGCGACCTCTGCAGGCGTCACCGTCACCTCCTGGATCAGCGCCTCAATCTCTGGGTAGGTGGCATGGTAGTCGATGGAATGGTAGTTGTTGGCAAGGATTCGGAAGGCCTCCGTGGTGCAGTACCCCATGTGGATGTGCATGTCCATCCTGCCAGGCCGCAGGAGTGCTGGGTCGAGACGCTCCTTGTAGTTGGTGGTGAAGATGATGATCCTTTCCTCCCCAGTTGTCGACCACAAGCCATCAACAAAATTGAGCAGCCCAGACAATGTGACCTGTGTGTGCAGGCAGCAACCAAATTAATTTGCCATCAGCATAGGTAAGAAAGAAAGCTGTCAAAATGGAGAAGCAGAGAGGTTTGTGCATAGACGTAAGGTATTCATTCTGCAAAAATGCAAAGTTACCTTGTCTTCTGCCTTCTTCTTCTCTATACGACTGGACTTGGTGGCAGGTTCCTCGTCGGCTTCCTCCCGCTGCTTGAGTTCGATGGTGCAGTCGATGTCCTCCACCACGAGAATGGACCGGTTGGTCATCCCGACGAGGAGCCTCCTGAGGTCTGAGTTGGAGTCGACCCCGGTGAGCTCAAGATCATAAATGTCAAACCTAAGGTGGTTGGCGATGGCGGCGATGAGGCTGGACTTGCCGGTGCCCGGCGGGCCATACAACAGGTACCCACGCTTCCACGCCTTGCCGATCCTCCTGTAGTAGTCCTTCCTTTTGATGAACCTGTCGAGGTCATCAACAATGGCCTGCTTCTGCTTCATGTCCATGGCGAGCGTGTCGAAGGTGGAGGGGTGCTGGAGGACGATGGAGGACCATTCGTCGCCGTACTGGTTCATGTAGATGTCGAGGCTCCGCTCCTGGTCGTTGATGGCCTTGGCGGCGGCGACGATGAAGGGCAGGTACTCCTTGAGTGCCTTCTCCTTGTGCCTCTTGTGGAAGCTCACCTCATAGGACCTGACCTCGCGGGCCCCGCCGCTAACGTTGTCCGGGTCGGCCTTGACCTCGCGAGTGACCAGGCACCACTTGAACTCCGCTCCTTGATACACATCTGCCATCTCCTCGCCTGCCTCCATGCTGACAACCATCTTCTCAGACCCGCAGGCGCTGCATGTTGAGGTTGGTGTTGATGCGCGTGGCAAGGTAGGCCTTGACGGCATCGTAGACATAGTTGTTGCACCAGCCCTCGGTCTCCTCGATGACGATGGTGTGCTGCCACGTCATGCGCGAGCGGAGGCTGGCGAGGGCTGAGGACAGCGCGTCACGCACCTCGGATGGCAGCAGTTCATTCGCGAGGCTGCGGACGAGCATCAGGGATGCCGCGAGGGAGGCCGCCGTCGCGATGGTCTTGTCGTAGGACGGCGCCATGGCTCCCTGTTGCTCCTCCTCTCTTGTATGTTTGTTCTTTTCTGTGTGAGGGTGGGTTGGGTTGG